AATAAAGGGGATGATTATCCTAATCCTATAATGATTAGGATAACTACAACATATGGATAAACACAAGGGAGGATAATGACTAGTCTTGGCCGCCTGGTATGGATAGAGACAAGGTGCTTGTCGCCTGGTCTTGGGACTGAAGTAGACTGATGTGGTCTGGTCCATTTTCGGATATGTCCCAACCACCATTTCTCAACACAAATTAATTATTTGATCCAGGGATCTTTGTCACTTTTTCATCTGTGACATCTAGAAAGAGGGATCAGACAAGTAAATCTTAGTCCTCCTCCACAAAAGTCTTTCATATCCAAATACTTATCCTCGTCAGTAAGTAGATTCATGTCAAACTAACCTGGGCAGTAAGTCTATCATTGGGACGCTTGTTAGCTGATTCAGGATATTTCAGTTGTCTAAATACAAACTGTCAAGAGAAATAAACCAATTACTAGCCCCCCATCTTTCCAGACAACATCATACAGATGAAGAGTTGAAACTAATGGAACGGATGTATGGATTATAATATATGATAAGAACGAGAATTTTTTTTTATTAAAAAAGAGAGAAAACACTTAAAATGTCATACTTAGATATTAAACAGTCGTTGAACCAAGGAAAAAAAAAGAAGATACTAATAAGGGCTTATTTGTTAAATAAGCTAAAAAAAAACAAAATTAATTTTCTAGAGAGATGGTAAAGAGAGATAGGAACACATAAGGGGAGAGAGAGTGTCTTTTTGGTTACTTAATCAATTTTTGTTTTTTTTAAATGTTATTGGGTGCAATTTCCCTACTAATAAATAGTCGAATAGCATAAACACACACAAAAAACAAGCACAAGAAACTAATTAATTATTTGATCCAGGGATCTTTGTCACTTTTCCATCTGTGACATCTGGGAAAAGTCTACAGGAGTCATCCCGGATAGCCAGGGATAAGGGGAAGAATTGTTTTTTATGAAAGGCGTGAAAACATCAAGCAAGATCAATCTCCCTGTCTCACTGATTACTCTTCGCACAATAGCCTTGCGTTGAATATGCTCTCTAATCCCCAAACTGGCCAAGCGGAAAGTTATGTAGACAAGTGCGCTTTTGGCTTTGAGTCTCGCATTTGGCGGTTCGACCTCATCGACAGTAGCTTCTATCCAAACATTCAATATCTTCAATTTGGACAAATGGTTCTGCAGCAGCAACAACAACAATTTTCAAACAAACAATGTATATATTTATATCAATGAGTATCCAGATATAAAAAAAAAAGAAAAAAGAATACTTACGGCTTGGAGTTCTTTATCCTTTGAAAGTAGGACAAGTTTCAAATACAGACAAATCCACTCATTGTCTTGCAATTCTGCTTCCTGAACCTGGAAAACGAAAATATATAATCATACAAATCATAACTGAGTATGAGAAGTGATGATGCTGTATCTTCTAAACCTTATTACCTTGTAGAATCTGTTTCTGTCGTTGAAGGCATCCTCCGACGGCCACTCAAACAATTCATCTTTGTATAGCACTCTCTCATCCAGATCCTCCTGATAAGTCAACAAGGGCTTCATGGTGGAGCTTCCTAAGCAAATCATAATCAAACAAAAGTGAGAATATAATAATAAAAAAAAAAACAATTATAAAACATGAACAGTGTGCAGTTTACCTCTAATCCTAGCAACAGGAACAGTCAATTCCAAACGGCCAAAGATTTCCTCAGCTACTTCAGCCTGGAAGGTTTGCACCAAACCGGTAGCTGGCTCAGTGGCAACGAGAGTCATGTACAGTGAAATCTCTATAAATTAATAATGTTGGGACTACACTAAAACTAAATTTTTTATTAATTTATAGAGATTATTAATTTATCAAAATATTAATTGAACCAAAAATTTAATTTAGAACTATGAAATTATATTAATTTATAGAGATATTAATTTATAGATTATTAATTTAAAGAGGTTATACTTTAGTAAGAGGAGAGACAGTTACATGTCATGTTGTATTTGATTAGCTCACTGAATTGAAAGTTTGTACCCTGATGATGAGATCAAAAAGAAACAGTTGAATGTTATGCACAAAGCAAGAACAGACTATAAATAGTCTTTTTTTTTTTTTTTTTTACCTCCAACAAGTTGTAATGGTGAAGTCCAAGCTCAGCGTAAAGGTCTACAAAAGCAGGATATCTGTAGACCTTTTTGCAGTCGACACGCACCAGTGGATTACTTCCTTGTGGTGCATGGATACCGTCGATATCGAAACCCTAAATTATCATCCATCCATCATCAGTTAGAAACTTAGATAAATCAACAAACGAATAATCACATAACATTAAAAAAAATCAAAAATTACCTCGCATTCATGCACTTTATTCCAATACTCCTTCAGCTCACGGATGAAAGCCACATTTTTTTCGATCTGAGACTTCATTCAATAAAAAAAGAAAAGTTAGTATTAACAAACCCTAGAAGCAGACAAATTATCACCTCGACCAATTCCACAATCCTATAAAAAACTATGTTGCGTATATATAAACAATAAGAAGAAGTTGAAAGAATTACGTTGGATTCGCCGCTGGATTCCGCCAGTTTACGATAGTACTCCCCAGCCTCTCGATCTTCCATCAAGTGATCAGATGATCTCCGCAAATTCCCTTGGGCCATGGTAGGATCGGAGAAGCTTAGCTTACTTTTTGTTTCTTCCTAATAATGGATTTAGTTTTCCCTTCGGCCTTGGTTCTAGATGAAATTTGTGCAGTCCGTCCTTGTATTGGCATTGGCAGAGAGAGTATAAATAGGCACCTTAATGGAGAGGCATTAACGAAACTACAACCGGCGTCGCTTTCAAACCCATTATTACTACGTCGCTTCCTTTTAGTATTGGGCCACGTTAATGTTATCATGGGCCCATTAAGGAAACGATAATGAGCATAGCTTTATGCTTTCAGAACCAACCCCCAATTGTAGGTGACGTGTATTTGGAATTGGAAATAATTGTAACATCATCCTACTAATTCCATTTGATTCGCTGAGTGTTGCTGGAAAGGCTGTTTTGAGAGAAGAAGATGTTGATGAGTTGACATCTGAGTCTGTCCAAGACTCTAGTATCTCAGGATCAGAGGACGAATCTGAGACAAGGCCACACGACTTTCTCTTGATGATGGGAGCTTGGCTGAGAGTGCTGTCACTGAGAGAGGCTGATGAATTTTGTTAATACGGATGAAAGGCGAATGTGTGTGGTGTTGCTTGCTATTGCTAGTGTTTGCTGGTACTGTCTTTAATGGAAAGTCCACAGGTATCTCTCTGAGTCTTTTGCAATATTACATTATGTTACCTTCTCTGAGTCCTGGTGCAAATAAAATAGCTAGTTTCTTGTCCTTTAAGTTCCCTTTTCCCATATATGTATAGATACGTTGTAAGAGCCAAGGCTGCGAAAAAGCAGTCCACAAAAGATGAAAAAGGTTCCTCTCATCTTTTGATACCTTTACAGGCAGAAGCTGAGCAGGCTGAGAAGGAGAAACCCATCTCTAAAGTGGTGAGCTTCACAAAACCCAAATGTATAAAATATGATTGGTATTTAAGGAGAAGAGACATCAACATTTTGTTTTCTGTTAACTTGATAATAGGAGGAAGTGAGAAGAGCAATGGCGGCTGCAGAAAGACGGATGGCATCACTCAACATTCAAAGCAGTTGGACGACACCACCATCATCATTTCATAGGATTACTTTCACCTTCCTATCCCAAAAAAAGATCCGCTTGTGGATTACTCTCACCTAAGTTTCAAATAAGCTTTTTGCATAATTTTTTGGGGCTATGTAAACATTACTAATCTTTTTGGTACATATTTTGTCGTCTCTCTTCCTTTAATTTTTTTATTCTTTTGGTTCCGATACAAACACTAAAACCAAACTGGTTTACAAATATAAACGAAGACTAAATTTGGAATTTTATTGAAATAAGTTTTGTAAAAAATATTGGATCACGCTTTAAAAGCGGGAAAATCGCATAAAAAACCTTCAAGGTGGCAACCACTTACACTTTAAAGCCTGAGAGTATTTTACAAGCACTTTAAACACTCAAATTGGCAAATTTAGCATATTATTAAACCTCAAATCTGGCTTACTTGTACATAAAGTTAAAAATGTGACCGGTACTGTTCAAAAGTGATGATATGTCAGTTTTTTTTTTAAAAAATATATATTTTACTAAAAAATAAATATAAAAATACAGAAAATATAAAAATTCATTAAAAAATCATTAAAAATCACTAAAAATTGAAAAAAAAATCATAAAAATTCAAAAAATCAGAAAAATCATAAACATTGAAAAAATCACAAAATAATTAAAATATTTTATTAATAAAATATTAAAAATAAGAAAAAATTAAAAGAAATTATAAAAAAATCCCAAAATAAGAAAATTCAAAAAATTCTAAATAAAATAAAAATGAAATTTAAATAAAATTAATATAAGAATAATAGATAAAATAAATATAAATTCAAGAATAAATAATTTTATTTGTTTTATAAAAAAACGAGAAAACACTATATTTTTTTAAAAAAAAGAATCATTATCTTCAAATGATTCTCGTGAACCAAATCAAAGCAAACAAATTCAAATTAAACCAGAATTTATATTATAAAATTCTTTTATTTATGTAAGGATATAGTTTTAAATGTGGTTTTATACACATATATGTGGTTTAAAAGGCATAATTGTACGCGTTCGATTCACAAATTATAATGAAAAATATCCTAAAGTACCACACTATTATGTTTGTTTTCCAAATATACTGTCATTAATAATTTAATCTTCAAAAAGTTTCAAAAATATTGTATACAATGTTTTTTATCCGTAATGAATCAAGCACAAATTAAAACATTATGTTTATGTTTCCTCTCTCTCTAATTTAATATTTATGTTAAACCATCAGAAATTCTGTTTAAGTTATTTTGGTATTAAATTTGCAATCTTATAATTAAAAAGTCGAAAGATAATTAAATTATGCTACTCTTTTCATCTTCAAAAACGAGAAGCTATGCATTATATTTTGTAAAACGGTATTTCAAATATTTTTTGAAACAGTAATTTTCGTTATAATAATTTTTAAATAGTAAATGCTCTATAAAAAATAATTTTTATTTCCCTATTCAGTTTTTCTTTTGTAAAAATTATTTTTAAAATTTCAAACTTTAAAATGGTTCTTAAGAAATTAAATGCGGCATTTTGAAGTCAAAGCTTAATAAAATTATGATACATCACTGCGATGCGTGTTTCTATTTTATTCTATACTAGTGGTATTCCGGCGCTACGCGCCGGTTTCGTATATTTTATTCAAACATTAATTTAAAATTAATTTGTGGTTATAGAAAAGAATATATGAAATATAAAATGAAATTATGTTGAAATAAAAAGATACTTACATCCATTTGATAGTGGTTAACGACCGTTGTGTATTACTTTATTATTTAGTTGCTTAGTACAAAGTGGAATAGCATAAATGGTTCTCACTAATCAAATCAATATAAGTAGAATAAAAAATCGATAATCATAACAAATGAATATAAACATATAGTAAAGTTGATGTTTTATTTAAAGAACATATTTATACTGTTAATTACCATGTGAACAGTATATAGAAAGAATGACATTTGAAATTGTATTTTAGAGACTAATCTAAATTTCTTATCAAAAAGTAAAGTAGTAAAACTTATCTTTATCCGTAAGTCGTAAAGGAAAGCTTCTTGAAATGTATTCTTTGTAACTCTGATTCTCCTCTCCATATTAGTTTTAAATAACAAAACAAGCTCAAAAGTATCTCGCAAGGTTTTTTTAAGGTTGCATTTATTATTATTTCTAATTTGTTGACAATTAAAATAAAGATATTATAGACTTTATTCAATTAATAAATGCTATTGATTTTCAGCTTTAAGGTTGTTTTGGAGACAAAAATTTAAAATAGCCTACTCAAAGAATTTATCATGGCTAGAGTTTCTTAAGAAGAGTAAATGAGAAGGTGGAAATTCTCGTTTGGTTAACACATGAAGGTGTCACACGGATGACCTTGTCCCATCATCGACAGCCAGCTCAAACCATTTCCTAGAAGACATAAACATTTTGAGTGGTGTACATATGATCACTTGATAGGAGCTTTACGGAACATGAATGCAATAATGGTAAGAAGTTACCTGACGATACCAACGGCGGTGGTGTCACAAAATGTGTTGTGCAAATGAAGGACCATATCTGAGGCTGCAGTTTTTTGGAACATTTGGGACATGAAACGTAGCACCACCCATTGGTTGTTTTGATTGCCTCAACTTTACTGGTTCATAGGAAGTCAACTGTCTGTAGCAAAGAGTGAAAAAACATTTATAATGTGCGAGTAAAGAGAATGTATGTTAAGGTGGTTAGGTTTACTATGTACCAGTAACTGCAAGTATTTTCTTCTGATAAAGCCCTCCCATCTTACATCCTTTGAGCCCCCTTCCAAAGAGAGGTGCAGTAGATACAATCTTAGGCTTTATTTGACTATTGCTTGCAAGGAAGGTGAAGGTTTGGTAGATACGTATCTTGAATCAATCCCTGATTCAAGAAACACTCTGAATCTTATATAGACCAAACCAATATCTGTAATTTCCTTTCCAAAAGACTTGAAAAATATTCCTTGCATCTTCTCATTATGCTTACACAATAATAAGCTTACAAACATATACCTAGCGCCCAAGGCTGAGAACGTTTTGCAGAAGTCAGTCTTCTCAGAATAAGCCAGCCTTCCAAGTAAAACATTCACCTGCAATACAAAAGCAGACAATATGTAAGGACATTTCGGCCAGCAGAACATGGCATATATAGGAGATAAAAGCAGATAGGTGATGTGTCAGTTTCATTAACAACCATAACCAGTGAAGATTCTGTAAATTCACTATCGTTCTTGAAATTAAAATCGAAAAGAATTGCGAAAGAGATACTTACATTCTCATCAATGAAGAGCATGTAAACACTCATCAACTCACCACCTTTCCTCACATCATTGCATCCCAGAATCTCAGCAAACGAACCTCCACAGTGTTGGAGCATCTCCCAGTTTTCAAATCAACTGATTTATAATCATATGAGAATAGGGTAGAAAGCAAGAACAAAAACTATTACCTTGACGGAAAAATTCTCACGTGCTGCAGCATGCTTATTATTTCTTACTTGATCAGGAACATCTGCAGCTTTCACTCCTCGAACTCTGTAAAAAGCTCGACTCATACCACAAATGACTGCAAAGAACAAAAATCTCAATAACAAAACAAATGGAAAAAAATCGTAATTTTGATATGATCTGATCAAGCAAACACTTATGTCAACTTTGGCTTACATTATTCCTAATTCAATATGAGGATATTGTGTGTCACTTAATATCAAGTTCCAGAAGCAAATAAACAAAGAATGGAATACGTACACCATAATGTGGTTTACCTATTTGTTCTTTGACCATGTAATATACATAGAATCTGGGAATGGTTTTTAAATGCTCTCTCTGGAAAATTTAATTTTTTCATTTGTCTGTAGATATTGTCGCCCCCTATAATCATCTCAGAAAATTAGATTGCAAGTTCAGATTTATTTTGATATCAAACTATTGGTGTTATTTCACCGTTGCCACCGATGCTCCAGCAACCATCCATAGGGTGCGCGAATCCTCTGTATATGCGGCTATTATAGATAGAATCTGATTTCACCTTGGTCCACAATCACTTGTTGGCTCACTTCTGTTAACCAACAACGACAAAAAAGACTAAAACTCATAAGCATAGTATTCCACCAAGTGAATGTAAGAAAAATAATCAATGTGTTTCTACTTTCACCGCCTGCCTAAACACTAATTAGTAGTCAACAGTGAAATATACCATTCGTTGATTGACAACTACCAGCAACAACTCTTCGGACAGTATCAACTTATCTTTTGAGTTTACAGACGATATCAATCTTTCAAATACACATGCACAACCCCTTTCGCCTCCGGAATCCAAACCTAAAGATGAGGAATTAAGCAGACAAAAAAGTGATTATGATGCTATGTGGTAGAAATGGATTGATTATCATGATTGATTTAAAAATGAGACCAAACCCACGTTACCAAACACGAAGCTACGATCCTTGGAAGATTTAAAACAGAGATCGCTTTGCACTGATCTCTTGCTAGCAAGTAATTCTGATTTGGCCAACGTCAGTTCATCATCCAACTAAACCGATGCTTCTGAAATTATTTAGATCATGTACATGAGAACAATGAATACATTAATTCAACATATGGCTTAGCCAAAGATCTGAAAACCCATACGCTAAAGAAAAGAGGAAGAAGAAGATAAGGCATATCTTACCACTGACCCGTCTGTTTCTGCCATGACTGTAAGAAAGTTAGTTTTGTAGAATCTGCCAAAAAAATTTGTTGTGTGAAAAAGATATGATTTGTATGTCTGTGAGAACTTAAAATGAAAAAATAAATCGATTTCCTTATCAATGACAAACCAAACCAAAACCATCTCAACTCTAGCTTTCTAAATCAACAAATGAAAGCAAAATCATCTCAACTCAAAGTTTTCATGAAATAGTTTGATGGGTTATGACTTTTGCGCCGGAATCACCTTTGCATCAAGGAGGAGCATATCAACGTCCATGAGTTCACCGTCATTCTCTGAGAATTTGGCATGAGGGGATAAAAAAATAGCAGAAAACCTGGTTTGAATTCGGAACAGTGAAAAAGGACTGTAGTTCACGTTAAAGCTCGGATTTAAGGACATTTTTAATGGAATGTAGATTCATTATGGTGAATCGATGTAAGCTTTAGTTTTCTGGGAAAAACAGCAGCTCCTAGGAAGGTGAGAAGACGAAGAAGATACCCAAATATTTTAGGGGAAATTGGAAAAATAGGTCATAATAGAAATGTTTTTGTCCCTTTATACCTTCACAATAATTAGTCAGTTTTTGACATAAATACCCTCATAATAATAGAAATAATTATTAAAAATGATACAAAGCTCAAAAAAATATGAAAAAATCATTATAATCATAAGAATATTTTATAGGTTTTGCTAAAAAAAAATAAACTTCAAATACACTTTGGATGTGTTGATCTAGATTTGTAAGAATGTATATTATAACTGTTTTTACGAAGCTAAAATACACATTCTAACTTGTCTTCAACGTTTTATCAAATTTAGTATTTATATTGTAACCATATGTCTATGATATAGCTAATATAGAAGACGTAGGTCCACGTTCTAACCAAGACACTTTAGTATTTCAAACATACAATATATATTGTAACCAGGACACTTTATTATTTTAAACATACAATATATGTTGTAACCCTTTGTCTATGATCTAACTACTATAGAATACGTATGTTTACGTTCTAACCAAGACTCTTTATTATTTCAACTATAGAATATATGTTCTATCATCTATTCTATAATATATCGTAGATAGAACGTCTCCTTCTAACTTTATCGTATGTTCTAAGTAGTTAGAATTAGTAGTATAACCTTCTATCAGTGTTCTATCCCGTTTAGAATATGTATTCTATATTTTCAGTTATTCTATGCGAAAATTTAGGAAAAATCAGTAACTACCCTTTATTCAAGTTTATCTTTGGTCGAAAATTTACAGGGGAATTGCGTTGAATTCATCCCTTGTTTGATTCAACGATCTTCTTCCTTTCTTCTTCTTCTCTATTTCTTCTTTATCAAATCAAATGGTTCTTCTCATCTATGTTTCATGCGGTGTTTGGAGACGGGATGTGGATAATGAGTGGAAGTTCATTGTTGATAAGGAAAAAAAAGGCAGATTACTCTCGTTGGAAGCAAGTACTACACTAGAGCAATTGAAGATGATGGTTTTGGAGGATTTTGGAATGGACGAGAAGATTGTTAGCGCTGAGTTGAGTTATTTTCCAAGTTCTTTGATGAGTAATTTAGGAATTCCACCAGTTGTTATTTCCAGTGATCGCCAAGTTTGCAGTTTTATTGGATATAGGAAGAAAAATTCATCCATCTACTTGTGTGTGTCATTTACGGGTATGGTTGGGAAGCGAAACAACAATTTCGATCTGAATGAGGAGCCTTCTAACTCAAGTCACTTTGAAGATGATGTTAATGTTAGAGTAAATCATGACACGTTCTGCCATTCGCCAAATATGAATGATGATTTCAAAGGCAAAGGCAAAGCCAAAGACACTAATGTCCACGTTGATTATGGTGCTCACGACTTAGATTCAGAAATGATAGAATACCATGAAAGGAAAGGTGATTTTTGGTTGGCTGCTTGCGTAATGAAGGATCAAGTTTTCAAAGGTAAAGACGAACTGAAATCAACTGTGGAAATTTATGCTATGAGATATAACTTTGACTACAAGGTTGTTAAATCGACAAGAAGATGGTGGTCTGCCTTCTGTAAAGATCGCAGTTGTCGATGGAGTCTTCGTGCGGAATGTTTAGCTGGATCTAGAAGCTACATAATCAATAAGTGTGTATCTGAACATACTTGTGCTCCTTCAAATAAAAGCAGCTATGGCAAAACAGCTTCTGCGAAGACAATTGGAAACCTGATCATGCATAGATACGAAGGTGTCAAAGAAGGACCAAAACCGAATGAAATTGTCGAGTTTATGCGCAACGAGTATAGTTGTGAAATCTCTTATTCCCAAGCTTGGGAATCTCGTGAGTATGCAGTTGCAGCAGCAAGAGGATTGCCAGAGAAAAGTTTTGGTAAAATACCAAAATACTTCCATATGCTGAAAGAAGCTAATCCGGGTACACATACTCACTACACAACTGACACTGATGGTAGATTCAAGTATTTGTTTCTTTCATTTGGTCAATCTGTGAGAGGGTTCTACAAGGCAATGAGGAGGGTGATTGTAGTAGATGGTACTTTTCTTAAACATAAATACAAAGGAACTCTACTTGTTGCTACAGCTGTGGATGGTAACTCTAACCTTTATCCAATTGCATTTGGGGTAGTTGATTCAGAGAATCATAATTCATGGGAGTGGTTTTTCATGCAGTTGAAGGTTGTTATTGATGATGATCCTGGTTTAGCATTTGTGTCAGATAGAAACTCATCAATTGTCCAATCTCTCAGCAATGTTTATCCACTAGCTAAACATGGAATTTGCATTCATCATCTGCTAAGCAATGTGGTTAAGAACTATAGGGTCAGAGGAGTATCAGGGATGGTTGAAAGAGCTTCAAAAGCATATAGGGCTGTCGATTTTGTGAATATTTTTGAAGATATTTGCAGAATGAGTCAGGCTGTTGGAACATACCTCCAGACCGCAGATGTGAGAAAATGGACTCGGTGTTACTTTCCCGGATTCAGGTATGACATAAGGACGAATAATCCAGCAGAATCAATAAATTCGGTTCTGAAAACCCCTAGGGAGTATCCTGTGATTCCTCTACTAGACAGTATAAGGGAAACGCTTACAAGGTGGTTTTTTGAACGTAGACTGTTGAGCTCAAAGAATATAGATCCATTAACGATAAAGGTGGAGAAGAAGATTGATAGGAGGATTAGAAAGGCTAAAGGATTTAAGGTGTTTCCAGTTAATGAGTACAGCAGTCTTGTTAGAGGTGACATCTATGATTGTCTCGTTGATTTAGCTAGAAGAACTTGTACATGTCGAAAGTTTGATTTAGGAAAAATCCCTTGCAGACATGCTATTCCAGCTATTTTTTCTAGAGGTATGGAGGTACACCGGTTCACAGATGAATTATACACGACTACTGCTTGGAGAAGTGCGTATGAGGAAAGCATTAACCCTATACCTGTCCCTGAAGAAGAATGGTGTGTTCCTGAAAGTGTTCAACATTCTAAGGTGCTACCACCTGAAACACGCAAGAGTGCTGGTAGACCAAAAAAAAAGAGATATGAATCATTTGAAGACAAGATACAAACGTCAGAAGGATCACAAAGTGCTACAGAGTACAAGTGCAGTCGTTGTGGTAAAGGAGGACACAACAGAAGGTCATGTAAGGTCGCAATCTAGTTGAGATCGCAATTATTAAAGTCTGGTTATTGTCTATTTTCGGAGTCAGATGTGTTTGGTTTAAGATTTGTTTTGGTTTTAACACTTCTGGAGTTGTTGTTCAATTTGTTTCTTAGGGTAATTAAAGAGTTTTGGTATTACTTGTCAAACAAACCAAAAAACACAGTTTTAGATGGGGAAGACTGTTATGTCACACGATGTATATTCTGATGGTTCGCAAGCTAATAATAACAGTGATAAAGAAACAAAATGAAAGAGATCAACAATAGCGTATATAGTCTGATGGTTCGCATGAGTTAGACAAACTTTACCAACCAGGGTTCGATTAACAACTATTGCACATTTTTGAATACTTTTATTAAATGCTTATATTAGTTTTATAAACTTGCGTAGAACAATTGACAATAAGTACCAATAGCGCAGTTGGTATTAGCTCTCTTTAATAATCTTAGTAATGTGGGTTCGAGTCTCTGCAGTAGCACGAATTTGTTTTTTTTTTTTTGACAGTACAAATTAACTCACTATAATCATTATCATGTCTTTTACCAAAATCAAAACTATTATAAACACAGACACAATTAGAATAGATGTTAAATTTGATTTGAAACTAAAATGTTACTAAAACAAATGTTAATAAAAAAGAGAAACAAAAACCAATAGAAATTTATATACACAAAGAGAGCCACAATGCTCAATTTATTTGAATATAATCGAGAGGATCGACTTCAGGTGGCTCATACTTCGACATCCGATCCATCAACTCCGGATCATTGGCAGCCTGCCAAAGATCAACCGCTATCTTATATCGACAACCCAAGATGTTCTCATCATCAACCAAAGAAGTGTCCAGACCAAGTAGATGACATTCCATAAATTTTATAGCATATACTCCACAATCACAGCAAGTCTTGTTTAGTCTACGTTTCATTGGAACATGGACGATGGAATATTGGGTTACGGTAAAATGCTTCTGGGTGTTGGAAGGCTGAACCGCCTTCACAATCCGCGGTATCATGATAGCAAATTTTTTAACTACATTTCGATGATCACCACCACTACAATCCCAAACCTCGACTTTTCTTTCATGGATGTCTATGCACATAGAGATCCAGTGATTACCATTGACCCACAATGGTAAGTAGATACGATCAATATCCACTCCCCAAACTTTTCTTGTTCTTCCATGAAATGGACGCTCACCTTTACCATAACTTAACATGAATTCATCCATCACAAATTCTTTTTTGTTATTCTCAAATTTCGAGAATGATGTGCTAAGTCGCAAGCAGAACATACATGTCATGAAAGCTGCACGATCTGGTTTCCAACGACGCAAAGTTGTTTGCTCTCGCCACAAGAACATAACGGAATCCATATCCTGAAATTAATTATACAAAGCTCAAATATGTCTCCAAATAAGTATTCCTATTTGTATATAAATAGTTATTATAGTATTACTAACCTTGTTACTAAGCCATTCTGTTTGTTTCATAATCCGATTCGCCATAACCATATCAAACACATGAGGACCAATGTTTAGATTTCTGAAACAAAAAAAATAACTCAAAAAAATTCATCACATTTTAAATATTATTAAGCATAAAATAAAAATTCAGGAAATTATAAAATACTTACATAGGTTTCATAGACCACTCGCTGAATTGGTTCCAGATCTCGTCAGACACAAATGTCAATGGGGAATCAGCAAATTTACTCGGGTCTGATGGATCATCCGTCAATTTTAGCTCTCTTCCACGTTTTGTTCCCCAATTCTCACCAAGAGAACTTGTATGTTTAGGAATTTCAACTCTGCTAGCTTGAAATGAAGTAGAAGGAGTCCACCAAGGATTTGGTTTTTGGGCCTTTGAAAGAGGTGTTGTGTCAAAATCAGTAACGTGAGACTCTTGTGATACTCCTTTTCCTATATTACTCAAATACTCTTGAGTCTTCATGTTCATATTGGTCTCTGAACTTTGACTAAAATTGAAGTCAAAAAGATTCTCCGTCTCTCTTTTCTTTTCTTCGTGGAACATATCATTCTGTTAACACAGTAAATTGAATACAAAAATTTTAATTAAAACAAGTATAAATAACTAAGTGAAGTCAATCATATAAATCATACATCCATCTAACAATAAAAGATGGAAACAACCTCTAAATACATGCGTTCAATCTACAAAATACATTTATAACATTCACCTATTACATTTAACCACACCATTTTAGTTATATATCGCACATTAACGTTCCTTACAAGCCGAATATTAAGTTACAAAACATTTTAACTTGAGAATAAATTTAAAGCTTTTTACTTCTTCCCCTTCTAACGGTTTTTGGTGGCTGAGTGTTTACCTTGGCCGGTTCTGAGGATGTCGCAGCTTCTGTTTTACCTTGGGCCGGGTTGATATCATTCGTGAGTTGTTGTCTAATTTCACACTCCAAAGCATCAAGCCTCGACTCAATTTTCTGCTCCAGCTTCTCCCCCAATGCAGTGACAGATGCTTCAATCACACTTTGAAGGAATTTCTTCAAGTCATCATTAACAATAGGCTGTGGTGGGTTTGAGCGCTCAAAAAGCAGCTTCTGCTTCCGTTTCTCGAATCCATGATCAACAGCCCTCTTTTTACCTCTAGTAGAACCTGAATGTGTGGAATTTGCCTCCTCACCATCTCCATTTTCCATCTCCACATCTGCCTCCTCTTCTTCCTCATGTATTTCGTCCTCATGTATGGACGTTTCCACTCGTTTAACTACCTCCCATACATGTGTACTCCAATCATAGCCTTCCTTGATTAGCCCTTCCAGAACATCAACTCGACAGTCTTTTACATCAGCTCTAGGAGAGTGAATGTCGTCTACTGGTTTCCCATTTCCGGTCCAAGAAATGTAAGGATATATGTCATCCTGAAAAATATCACATATCATTAACAAAATATCAATATATCATTAACTCAAGCTAATGTTAATTAATACTCACCGAGGATGTAATTGTCTTCTCTAGTAAACTTATATCATCATATGACACCTTTGCCGCTCCTGTCCAGTTAGAGCATCTTGGACCAGCTTTGAACTCTTCAAAGCGTTTTGTCCCCAACAACTTCCCAACAGCCGGAATCGCTTCCATAGCCCAAATCTGCAGAGCATACGAGAACCCTTCTAATACATAGCTCTTTGGCGCCTTCAACATCTTATTTCGGTTCTTGAAGACAGACTTGAGAAGAAGATCATAACTGACACGACCCCATGCATATGCTCTAAGCTTCTCGATATCCATTACCACTTTTATGTACTCAAGTGGGATCACAGCTCCGTCAGCCCTCGCCAAAACCACACCGACAATCACACACAAATAGATCAACCTGAACCTGTCCACTCGCCTCCAATCATCAGCACCACCTATATAATCAGCCCAAATCTTTTCAAGGGTTATGTTCTCTTCTCTTCTCAGCAACCTGCTCCAAAAGCCACCATCATCTACCCATTCCTCAAAATCAATTTCTTCAGAAACCTCGCATTTGAGACCCGTTACTGCGTAATACTCTTGCATAGAGAATCGTAGTGGCCTCCTCGCAAACTCAAACCATAACTCATGTCTTTTGTCGGTTACCAGCTGCCTGACCAACATGCTGTGTATCATCCTTGCAGAATACTTTAATTTGTGGCGATGAAACGCCAAAATATGAGCAAACACGGGATCCATCTCCACTTCCTCATACTCATTTTTAAACCGCGACTTCAGTTTATCTAAAATCCCCAGTCTGCAGTAGTTATTGATGTGTGAAACTTGAGGCTCAGACCCTGGTTTGAACAACCGTTTTGGAAGCTCAGAATCCATAACCTGCAAGCAAACAACAAGAACAAAATATATCAATGCTTTACACTTCAAAGTCATCATCCACACAAACAAGATTCAAAGTCATCATTAACAAAAGCAGAGAAGCGTGAAAAATAAACCAGCTCAAGCAAACGAGCTCAAAAGAAACAAGATTCAAGTAAAACAAGTGTGAAAGAGCAAGTGTAATGATCAAAGAGCAAGACGAGTTCAAGTTAAACTTGTGTGAAACAAGAGAGGAATCGGACTAACATAAACAAGAGAGGAATCGGACAATGGTGAGAGGAATCGGATTAACATACGAAAACAAAAACTATTCTTCAATTGCTTCTTAAACTCCCTAAATGATCCGATAGCTTAACATAAAATTCCCAGAATGAAGAACAAGAAAGGAAGAACACGAAGGTATAACTTACCGAGAATGGAGAGAGGAATCGAACAATGGAGAGAGGAATCCGGAAATTGGAGAGAGGAATCCGGAAATTGGAGAGAGGAATCCGATAATTCGAGAGAGGATTCCGACAATGGAGAGAGGAATCGGATTATGGAGGGAGGAATCCGATTATGGTTCTTTCGCCGGCGGAGGAGTGAAAAAGAAAGAGGAGAACGAGACTCCAAATAGTTTTAGGGCTTTTTCCTTTTTTTTTCAATTCAAAATTATTTAAAATTTTGCTTACTAACTTAAAACAAAAACCGAACCGAGAACCCGTAATCCCGTAAACCCGTAAACCCGTAAACCCGTAAACCCGTAAACCCGTAAACCCGTAAACCCGTAAACCCAAAAACCCAAAACCCTAACCCTAAACCCGTAAACCCGTAAACCCGTAACCCGTAACCCGTAACCCAAACCACCCGTAAACCCGTAAACCCAAAACCCGTAAACCCGTAACCCGTAACCCGTAACCCAAACCACCCGTAAACCCGTAACCCGTAAACCCGTAAACCTTAACCCTAAACCCTAAACCCTAAGGGAAACCCTAACCCTAAACCCTAAACCCGTAAACCCGTAACCTGTAAACCCTAAACCCTAAACCCTAAACCCGTAAACCCTAAACCCTAAACCCGTAACCCTAAACCCGTAACCCGTAACCCTAAACCCTAAACCACCTGTAAACCCGTAAACCCGTAACCCTTAACCATAAACCGTAAACTCTAAACTCTAAACTCTAGGGTTTAGGGTTACGGGTTACGGGTTTACGAGTTTACGGGTGGTTTAGGGTTACGGGTTACGGGTTAGGGTTTAGGGTTACGGGTTACGGGTTTACGGGTTTACGGGTGGTTTAGGGTTACGGGTTTACGGGTTACGGGTTTACGGGTTTACGGGTTTTGGGTTTACGGGTTATGGGTTAACTTTTTGTTTCATTTAACCCGAGTTTAGTAACTCTAAACCCTAAAAATTGAACCCGGGTTAAATGAAACAAAAAGTGAAAAAAACAGTGTACGTGCCTATATTCGAACCCGGGTTAACTAAGTCAATTGTGATGGCAATTTACCACTGGGCTAATGAACCTTTCAATACATTGACGAACATTGTTGTTCTTAACATTCTCTCATCCGAGTTAAATAATGAAAATAAAAAGGCGTAGACACCTAGATTCGAACACAGATTAACTAAGTCAAATGTGATGTCAATTTACCACTGGGCTAATGGACCTTTCAATACATTGACGAACATTGTTGTTCTTAACATTCTCTCATCCGAGTTAAATAATGAAAATAAAAAGGCGTAGACACCTAGATTCGAACACAGATTAACTAAGTCAAATGTGATGTCAATTTACCACTGGGCTAATGGACCTTTCAATACATCAGCGAACATTGTTCCTTTTAACATTCTCTCATCCTAGTTAAATGAAAATAAAAAGCCGTAGACACCTAACTTCGAACCCGGGTAAACTTGGTCAAGTGTCATGGCAATATACCACTAGGATAGAGTTACTTTCAATGTATTTAGCAACATCTTATTGTTATATTGAGTACTTATTGAATAAGAAAAATCTCTTAAAAACTTAAAAATACCTTTAAATTACAATAAAAAAATTAAAAAGAAAGAAAATTTCTATAAAATTAATTATGAAATTAAAATTTAAAATAAAATTTCATTTTTCTTTTAAAAAATCAAAAAACTTTCAAAAATTTCATTTAAAATGAAAATGCTTAAAATAATTATTGTACCCATTATGAGTGTGATTTAATTTTAAAATTTTTTTATAATTTAATTTAAAATTAAATTTTGTTTTAAAAAAAAAAAAGAAATTTTGTTTTTAAATTTAATTTCAAAGTTAATTTTTTTTTATTTTTTTAAAATTTTAAAGGTATTTTTATAACATCATGCCAATTTGGTTTTGCCAATTTGGTTTGTTTCTTTTTGGTCCGGTTCTATTCAGCTAAAAGATAATGCCACATCCAACTTAATATTTGTAGTTATATTCCAAGATGATGAGATACATACATTTTTAATATATTTTTACAATACAACTACATATCACAAAAGATAAACAACAACACATCGATCAAACTATTTCAATAATACATGAAGATTGGACAGGTGGTTCCAACTTCGACATCCGATCCACCAACTCTGGATCATTGGCAGCCTGCCAAAGATCAACTCCTATCTTCTGTCGGCATCCCAAGATGTTCTCATCACTAACCAAAGAAATGTCTAGCCCGAGGAGGTGACACTCCATAAATTTAATGGCATATGCTCCACAATCACAACCAGAGTTGTTTAGACTTCGTTTCATTGGCACATGCTTGATGGAATATGGCTTCACGACCAATTGCTTATTGGTGGTGGGAGACTGAACCGCCTTCACGATCTTTGGGATCATGATAGCAAATTTGTTAACTGCGTTTCGATGTCTACCACCGCTACAATCCCAAACCTTTATAGTTCTTTCAGGGATGTCTATGCACATGGAAATCCAGTGATTCCTATTGACACACAATGGAAAGTAGATACGATCAATGTCGACTCCCCACACCTTTCTTGTTCGGCCTTCCAATGGAAGCTCACCATTCCCATAACGTAACAAATATCCATCAATCACAAATCCTTGTTTCTTACGCAAAAATGACAAGTATGATTTGTTGACTTCCATGCCGAACCAAGAAGTCATGAAAGCGACACGATCTGGTTTCCAACGGCGCAAAGTTGTTTGCTCTCGCCACAAGAACATAAGTGAATCCATTTCCTGAAATAAAACATCATTCAAATAAATTAAACTGATAACTCATATTTGAATAGAAATAGTGGTTGCAGTATTGCTAACCAAGCTGCTTAACCATTCTGACTGCTTCATTATCCTCTTAGCCATTGCCATAGCAAATAAATTTGGACCAATTTTCAGTTTTCTGAATAAGAAAAAAGTATGAACTTGTTAATCAAATATAAACATACTTTTTATGTTCAGATTATAAATATATAAAACAAAAAAAAGTACTTACGTGGGTTTCAAAGACCATTCGTGAAATTGGTTCCACAATTCTTCAGACACGTATGTCAATGGAGAATCAGCAAATTCATTTGGGTCTATTGGATCATCCGTCAATTTGAGCTCTCTCCAACGTTTTGTTCCCCAATTCTCACCAAAAGGACTTTTATGTTTTGAGGGAGGTACTCGAACCAAACCAGTTACGTTGGAGTCTTGTGAGGATGTCGCTATGTCTCCATCTCGTCTTGTACCGTGGGCAGGTTTGATGTCATTTCTTAGTTCTGTGATTTGACACACCAAACCATCAATCCTCGTCCCAATTTTCTTGTCAAGCTTCTCCCCCATTGCAGTGATGGTTGTTTGAAACGTATGCTGCAAGAATCTCTTCAAGTCTTCATTCTCCATCTCCCCACCCGCCTCCTGCAATCAAACAAAAAATAAGAAAAATAGATCAATATTTTACAACTTAAAAATCAAAGTCCAGCTCAAGTAAAAACAATAAGAACCAAGACAAGCTCAAGTACAATAAACAACCAAAACAAGCTCAAGTTATAGGCTTGATAACAGGTTATAACCGAACATAAACTAAAGCTAAACACAGAAAACATGGTTCAACAGATTATATAACCAAACATAAAGTAAAGCTAAACACAGAA